GGGGGCCGAATACTTTCGCAAGGCACTGTATATGTGTGTGTGTGTGTGTGTGTGTGTGTGTTTGTGTTGAGTGGTGGAGTGGTCTTGTGTTATTTGCTCAAGGCAGGTTTTTCCTTAACCTCTGTTCTACTTTCATTACCTCATTCCTTAAACAAGACTAGATGGAAACCTAGTATGTGGCTGGACTGGTATGATCAGCAGTAGTGTCTATAATGTGAATTCACAGATATATATCTTAAGATGTTTGATTTCAAGAAGAACGTATTCTAATTATAACTATTCTGATTATCTATGAACTCCCCCTGCTCTTTCATCTGTTTCTATCTGCGGGATGTTTCTGGTTTTTCTATGACTCTGTATTGAGTGTTTTGTCAGAGTCATTGTAATTTGGGTTGCTTCAACTGTGCTTTCCTTTTTTTAGTTCTGGACCTTGGTAATATCTAGCAAACCAACTCGAATTTCCACCAGTTTTGAGTGTTACCATAGTAATTGGATGCATCATCAACAGAGGGTGCTGCACAATGTGCAATGACCTGTAGAATATGACACACCCACTTTGGTTCCCAAGGAAAACCTGCTATTTTTTGGTTCTAGCTGGGAACCAACTTGTCAGGTTCTGAACCAATTTATTTCTGGTTGAAACTCCCCCAACGATTCAAAACTAGGTGCTTGAACCAGAACGAAGACAGTTACCTGTTGATGGAAAAGGCCTGTAGGCTGTGGGCTGCACTGGTTCCTTAAACTAGTTGAAGAAAAAGTTCTTGTTGGAGCCGATTAACAGAACTCAGTCCAACTTATACACAGGGTGAGAATGAAGTGGGGCCCATGTAGTATGTGGGTGTAGACTAAGGCTGCACTTATACTGTTATGGTACATAATTAACATTATGGCCAATGTGGAAACACCAATCGACTGAACAATGGTGTTACTTCATCACTCACTCAGGAACTCAGGAAAGCCAAAAAAGGAAAGATAGGTTTCAAACTGGGGTGAGTTAATATTGTACGATATTAGAGATTATATTACATGCAAACTAATAAAACATTAAATTAAACTTTCTATAGGGTAGGTCATCTGAGACATGCTTAATAAATCCAGGCCCAGCCCTTTGGTATCCATGGTTATTTTTAAATCAAATGTCAGCACACAGACTTGTCTCGGTGTATTAGTATAGAAGCCATTTCCAGCCACTCTACCTGTGCTGGGCTGCACTTTGAAACAGTAACGGAGAGACTGAGCGTTCAAAATGTCATGGCATTTGGTTGAGATCAAAGAGTCTGATTTGTGGGGACATTTTAAGTCAATAACTGGAGCTGGCAGCGGTGGAGGTTGAATCGTTGTTCAGTGGCTCATTGCTGTAGCATTTATTTATTGCTTTTCCCAGAAAACACCTGTCAATCAAATAGTGTGAGAAGGTGCTGTGATGTGTCATTCCTTGGATTTGTTGATAGGCTCTCTGGGCAGTATCAGTGGTATACGGTGTCTTCACCAACCAAAGTGTAGTGGAAGTTTATGTCTGCAATGAGCGCCAGGAAATCTAAACTAGCCTAGCAAAGAGTGGATTATGTATTTCAGTTTAACTTTTTTTTAAAAAATACACTGGAAACAATTGTCCTTTGGAGAATAAGAAAAGTAAGAACACATCATGCACCATCCATCACTGGTCACATTATCTTACATTACAGACAGCTGTAAAGTTACTGAACTTTGAGGCAGGCAAGGCATTAAAATCCAAGTACCACTCAAGGTAGCCCTGCCATTAGGTTCACTCTCTTTGTTATGTCCATGAGAAAACATTGGCGCATGCCAGTGCAAAGCCATTGTGCCGCTGATCATGTGCAGGTAGCCCTGTTTGATTTCCTTCATTGACCATTACATTGCTGTCACTGCTCATGCTTCCAGACAAGTTGAAAATGTTTAACTCATCACCCTCGAAACTGCTCTGCAGATCGTCCAACCACATCTAAAACCACTTTTCCAAGAGTAGCAATTAATTTATGAAACTATTTGTGGGCAAGTCTGTTGATTACTGCTTTCCAGTACAATTATCTATCCAGGAAGGTGAATGTTCCATGAATAGAGTCTATAAAGTAACCTTAATGTTTCAGTATGCTTAAAACAAAGTGCTTGATAGATCGTCTCATAGTGTCTGATAACAATCATGCAACCAAGCTGTCAAGCTCTCTTTTTCATTTTTCACACAACAACTTCAGTCAGTTTTAGTGTGTACAACCAAGTGCAAGACCTTGAATAGTTGTGAAGAAAGACTTAAGGAAAGTTTGTGACATGTAGTACAACCTACTTAGTTTAAACCATACTGAGTGTGACTATGTATAACAGGAAATGTACTGTAAAAGTTTGAACTGGATATAGATTGAATTTCTTTTGAGTGGGAAAACAGATGTGTATTTTAAATTAGAAACTATAACAAAGAGTTTGATATAGGTACACTTGACTTGATGATGGACTGACCTAGACTCTGATGGGCATCACTGATTTTCTGTGTGTGTGTTTGTGCTGTAGCCGTGTCTGGCCCACCAAACTCTATTCCAATCTTCTAAATGGATCACCTCCCACGTCTGACTGGTTTCTGCAATTGCGAGATGAGGGGATGGACAGGGCATTATAGAGAGGGTCATTTTGAGAAAGCAGATTGTATGTAATTGGGTAAACACAGATGTAGAAAATGCTCGGCAGCTATTTGCAACTTCACCTGGCCTTTCACCACGCAGCTACCATCATCAGTCCCAGCTCTAAACCACAACAGTTTCAAAAACCTTAAACTCTGCAGGAGTCTCAGCCACAAACCTTAACCCTGGCTGACCAGCTACAGCCCCATTCCAAAGTAAAACATCCCATCATCAGTTTTCCCGTTCATCCCACTACAAAGCATCCTCAACCCCCCCTCTTCCTTGAGTTATCAGTCCTGCAGGACATTGAATATGATAATTTTCCCCTCATGCAGCCTTGGATTCTGACAAAGGAAGGATTTGATTGCAGTGCTATCTCCTTTCCGGCCTTCTCATACTTTCCATGTTTGAATTTCAATCCAGTTCCGGCCTTTTATCTCCTGGCCTCGATGTTTCCCAGTCAACTTCTGTCTATCTGTTTCAGTCGAGTTCAAATATGAGCTTTTGGCATGGCGTCCACAACACACTGCCAGTTTTTAAGCAACTGACTGTACTCACATTAATACCTTGACCTGATGTCTCCTTGCTCCTTTTTGGTCAGTTCTTCATGTCTCGGGTTGCTTGCTCTCTCCATCTGCTGTCCATTTGGTCCAGATAAGCATTGAGCAGAGGTGTTATCCAAGAAATAGGGTGTTGACGTCCTGTTTTCTGGTATCGTTCCATATTGAGATGACGCAGCAAAGTGGACGGACCTCAGAGGGACTGTGCGTAATCAGGCCGCTGTTGAAGCAAGATGGGATGCCTTTGGGAGGCAGAAATCAGCAGACGTCAGATGACTGTTTTGTTAGGGGAGAAAAAGAAGAAAGACTTAATCGCAAAAAAAGTATCCATCTTGAGTCGTTTAGCTTATTATTGAGTTCATAAATCATATGTGCTTTAAAATAAGAAGATGTGCCAACAGAGTGAGATAATTCTTGATTCCAATGATGTTTTTTGTTGTCACAACACAGAATAAGGCACTAGTATTGAGTAAAACACTGAGCAAGAAGAATGGTATTTGAATTACTCAACAGACTGTTGTGAATGTTGTGTTAGAAAGGAGGGTTTTTTTTAAGAGAAAATCTGTTTTTTGACCCAAGGTTTGCTACTTCCAATCCCTGAACCAGCTGTGACAACTAAGAATGAACAGGGCACTGCACCTTACTGATTGTTCCCAGAGATCTTCACAGGTCAAAAATGCCCGAATGGGCCCATGGAAAACCCACCCAAAACCTGACATGCATACAGCAAAATGTGAATAGAATCAGGATCTGAATGGACCCAAGGATAATTAGACCATAGCAGTTCCCAATAGGAGAGAGAGAGACAATCAACACTGGAAGCAGCGTTTTGGACCTGGCCCAGCTGTTTTCCCAGGTTGGTTTTTAGTTACAAGGACCCCAGAAGACCTCTACTGTATATCCCAGTGGCCCTGTGGTTTGACAAGCCCAGAAACAATCCACACTATGACTTCAAAGCAATATCACAGACGCATCCATCCTCATAATGACGACCCCCTCCCCTCACACTGCCTTGTGGGCTCTTACTCAAGCTCTGGGAAGGACATATCACCTCCATTAGCTTCTAAATGTCAAGCTACATAATAGCATCTCCATGCTAAACACACAGGTCATGATAAATGGTCAGACACTGCCGACTCAGTGTTTGGGTTTATTCGGACATTTGTTTTGGACATATCATGTTGGGCAGTGAAATACATTTTTTACTATACTGAAGCTGTTTAGATGAACAACTATTACATGCACCTTGGATTTTTTCATTTTCATGATTATTGATCAGTTGTAATTCAAGAAGGCAAATTGATTGGAATGCTCTTTGATATCCATGTTACTTATGCATCTTTCTGCAGTGCTCTATACTCAACACAAGTCCTCCACCTTGTGGCTAAATAATAAATCACAACCTTTTCTATGTTGTCATTTGTAGCTGGTGGTCCTTTAATCAGTGCTAATTGCACTCTGAATTACAATTAGCTCAGCAACACTCCCGGGACTGGTTATTCATGCTGCATCAGCATTTTTAATGAGCTAATTATGAATTCTGTAATAAAGTGTGCCTTCAGGCATGCAAATAGCTTGTTTGAGCTTGTGTACAGGCACAAACACCAATGTATCTGTATCATAGTTGGGGATGTAGGTGGGATGGGAAAGAATGCCATTTTCCCCAAAACCATTATGAGCTCTGAGTAATGAGACAAGGCATTTAGAGACAGTTTTAATTCATAAATGTGTTGGGCACATCTTCTTGTTTCTTGTTTGTCTATTATCAACCACACTGCACGAGTGTGTGTTTTTATTTTCTGTCTGTGTTAAATTGTCTTCATTATCACAACAAAATATTTATCAGATTATTCTTTTATATTATATTGCCATGTCTCATAAGAACTAGTGAGGTAAATAGGCTACTAGTGAGTGGATGACTATGTGAAATGTATGGATCCTTCATGTATGGAAGCCGATTCCTGCCAGGAAAAGAAAAAACATGTATGCAAAGTTAGTCATGATAAAATACTAAAAAATACTCATGTGACTAAAAATTATATGAGGTACTGGGTCACATTTGTGTGACTCAAAATTATTAGTTAATACTTCTTGATTATTAAAAATTAAGTGAAATGTTTGACTTAGGTCAATAGTCATAGTCATAGTTATGAAATAGAAAGTACAAATCTTGAGATACTTAGTCAAAAGTATTCAGTGTGAGTACCATGAGTACTTCATTCAAACATTTTATCTTTTTTTCCTTATGGAATTGCTTTCTGCAACTGATTTTATAGGACTGGTGTCATTGTTTATTTTCAGTTTTAAAGGGTCACTGCTGATTTTAGGAATTTCACCATGGGGAGTACAGCTCTGTGACTCTGGAGAAGCTTTGTAAAGTCTGACAAAATATCCCACAATGAGGTCATCAGGGTTATCTGAGTTCTGACTTAATTTATAACAGAAACCCCATGTATAAACTGGTGGCGTAGAATTTGAGTTATGTAGCCATTTACATAGCAGGGAATGCCTAATGAAAAGATTTTATCAAGTTGCATTAAGGGAAGTGTAGGATGCAGTATATTTGGAGCTTGACTCATACTAGGGGCTAAAAGTCTTACATTTTTACCTTTTCTAAACTTGTATTTTGCCAGTCCAGGAAGTTATCCAAGGTTATTACTAAACTGATTCAGTACCCCTTTAATAGTTCCCCTGAAGAGACCAAAACCAACAAGTGCTATCCTACATTGTCCTAACCTGTTCTTGTTTATGCTCAACAGGCTGGAGAGAAGCACTACCACCCCACATGTGCCCGCTGTGTCCGCTGTGAGCAGATGTTTGCAGAGGGAGAAGAAATGTATCTGCAAGGTAAAAGCAGTTTAAATTTGTTCTTCTAATCCAAACATCAGGGTGCTGTAGCTGTTTATGTCTGGACACAAATGATTTAATCATAAAACACATGACTGTATTGTTAGAGCTAAACGTCTAGTAACTGTTTTTCTTCATTCCGGTCTCTCTAAACTCTCAACACCCCTATTTCCTATCACTAACACCAATATATCACCATAAACTCAATGCATTGTGGACCTTCATGTTCCTAATAAACTTGGTTAGCGGCTTGGTGAATGAATCATGCACACGTGTGCCTGAGTCACACCGCCACACTCCTAGAGATGTTATTTACTGCTGCTATGGTGCTGACACAAAGTAGCAGCTGGTGCTCTGCCTTGGGTGCTCCATGTACTTCAGCTCTTTAACTGCTACTTGTCACGTCAGGGTGAATTGATTTAGTAGTGGAAATAGATTTCTGAAACCTCAACCAGGAAAAAAATGTAAATGCAACAGATGAAGAGATGAGTTATGCGTGTTGTTGCGGGCGGCTGTGGCGCAGAACGGGTCGTTCACTAATCGGAAGGTTGTTGGTTCAGTCCCCAGCTCCTCTCGCCACATGTCGAAGTATTCTTGAGCAAGATACTGAACCCTGAATTGCTCCTGATGCTGTGCATCAGTGTGTGAATGTGTATGAATGAGTTAGTTTCTGTTTGATCGATGGTGGCCCTGAACAAAATGAAGCCTAGTGGCTGCGAAATACGAACCAAGACACGCAAGCTGCTAGCGACAAAAAGCAAATGGATAGTGTGAAAGGAAAATTAAAAATCCTCAGTTTCTCCAAAGTTCCCTGTCTCTGTCTCCCTTTGTCCTTCAGGTATCTTTCCATCTGGCCACCCTCACACATGCAGACAAACAGCCAAAAAGCAAGGAGGAAGAAGAGTAAGGTGGGTTGGAAAAGACGCAGAGCCACAACTGGCAATACCTTATCTAAATTGAATTCAAGTGCTGGTAGGCATTTGCGTCACAAAATTCCCCAAAATAGAACTAAAAAAAAATGAGATCCACATTCAAACCCACAGCAAACTCATTTCTAAAACACTTGGATGCCATAAAATGGGAATTTTGAGATGTTGTTGTTTCTGAATGGTATAGCTGTAAATGGAGAGATAAGATAGGTTTGGTTGGAACTGAAGGCCTAAGGTTCCAATTTTTTCTTTGACCTCCCCCTGATGAAGCACTAAAACCCTTTGAAATTCAGTCTTGACTCTTTGGGAGACGCATCAGTAAAGCGGCCATAAGTGCCTACCTATTTGTCCTGGCAAAGTCTTGTGTTTATGAAAACTGGATCGTGCTGCTTCCTCCCCAATCCCTTCCCAAATTAATAACAGCAGCGAGCAATACCCCGGGTAGGGTTCAAACCTGTGCATTTTACGGTCCAACTAAGTGGGTACTGGACCAAAAAAATCAAGCTTTCTTTGAGGAAGTACTAGAAGCTGACGGGGAGGGCAGAGTTCTAATCAGAACCTGTAGAAGTATTTCTTCATTGAAAGAAAAGCCAAAGAGGTAGCGAAGGCTCTTCTTGATGGAAAAGAGTTTTGCTCCCTTCTCCCGATCCCTGGAGTATTTTTGAAAAGTGCCTGCCCTTTTTCCAGAAGCAGTAAACAACAGTCAAACAAACCATGCTGGTGCAGTCCAGGTTACTGCTTCATTAACGCCTTGCTAAAATAATCGCCGTCATAATGGTTTCTGGCAGAAAAGGCCCTGAACATGTTAAACGGCTGACTAGTCTCAACATAGCCAACTTATCGTTCAAACCCTTTGTTTTATCAGGCTGGAGGTGAAAGAAAGTGTGGGAAAACTATGCAAAATCAGAAAAACCAGGGCGAGCAGTGGCGCCTTACTCTTTATTCACTGGCACACCCGGAGCCAGGTTATGGAATATCTTCAATTGGGAAAAAAAGGGAAAGCCAACCTGATTATTTGCTCCGTTCGACGCATCGCCTTCCAGTTAAATCAAGTGGACAATGAGACATGTATCACCCTGTCACCTGAGACCCATACAGAGCACTCTGTACCTTGTCCCTCAGGTTCTGCAGCAGCATAAAAAGAGTTTCCCCAAAAATCGTAAGGAGGAATGTGACTGGAGCCTGATGCACAGTCAAGGAGGAGTTTTAACAATGAGTTTCAGGGACAAAATAACATTATTATACCAATTGTATCCAGGGCAGCCCTGCAGCTTACAACCAGTAATCCTGTGCCCTTCCCTCCCAAGTCTCCCCAAGTCGCTCATCGGTG